TCCCGCGCGGCTCCTCTCTTTATGGGAGGAAGTGACGCACAGCCGTCACTTCCTCCCAGCCGGCTGCCAAAAAGCAAGAGGGCCCGGTCGCACTCTTAAAGCGCCAGAGCGCAAGACCGGGCCCCTGCTGACAGAAGCCCACCGGGTGGCCCTTAGTGCATGGGCCACCCGGTGGGTCTCCTTAGTGTGCAGCTGAACAGGCGAGTGGGAGAAATGCTTGAGGCAAGCGGGGCCCACGGTGCAGCTGCTTCGGGCCCCTCAGGAGTAACTGGGCCCGGGGCAGCTGCCCCATTTGCCCCGCGGTAAAGATGGCCCTGGGGGCCAGGGACAGAATTGGGGGGGCAATTACAAAACGTGTGTATGCACACACACACACAAACGTGGAGAACATTTAAAAGTTAACAAAATTCAGATTTCCAATTCAGATTTCCAGCTTGTAACAATATCTTATGATGCCAAAATTGTTCCAAAACTAGTTTTTTGTTTTTATATATTTATTTTTAAAATAATTTACAACATGCAATTTTAAGGAAATTAAATTAACACTTGTAGGGGATACAGCCGAAGTGCCAAAGTAGTAGAAGTGGCCGCCATTAGACAATCGAACACATGGTGGCGGCCATTTTCATTCAGTCGAACGCGGTCAGCGGTGTGTGCCGTCAAATCCCTGGAACGGAAATCGGCTACACATTTGAATGAACACCGCTGACCTGTACCTTCCCCTACACTTTGACACTGCGGCTGGAGACTAAGTCCCGTTCGAAGATTCGAACACATGTTTGAATGGGACTTTGCCATCTTTTTAGTGTAAAATGTAAAAAGACCTCCAGTTAAATAATGAACACCGCTGAAACTTAACCCTGTTTTCACTTCGACATATTGCGCTTCGAATAAAATAGACTCATAAACGCATGCAAACTGCCTAATACATGCACACTGTATTGAATACTTACATCCATACACACATACTGTCCTTTGTCTATGTCATCCTGCATCCTGCACACACCCTCATGATTGCACAATACATATATTGCCTAATCACATACACTCCAGGGTACCATGCACACTGCCCGGTAAGGCTAGGAAGCATACAGTCCTATATCACATACACTACTGTCCTCAATAAGAAACCTTTGTCACACTCACACCACTCGCTGTAATCACTGCAATTAATTCACTTTTCTCAGAATCTACATGTGGCACAGGCCGCGGGTCACAATACCTGCTCCTCTCTGCTTGCTCTGTTCTGCCTCCTTTGCTCTTGCTCCTCTATGCTTGCTATGCTTCCTCTCTGCTTGCTCTGCTCCGCCACTCTCGGCTTGCTCTGCTCCCCTTTACTTGCTCTGCTCCGCTACTCTCAGCTTGCTCTGCTCCCCTTTACTTGCTCTGCTCCCCTTTACTTGCTCTGCTCCGCTACTCTCGGCTTGCTCTGCTCCCCTTTAGTTGCTCTGCTCCTCTCTGCTCCGCTACTCTCGACTTGCTCTGCTTCTCTCTGCGGTGCTGCTCTCTACTCTCCCTCCTCTCTGCTTGCTCTGCTCTGCCTCCTCTCTGCATGCTTTGCTTCTATTTGCATGGTCTGTTTTTGCTCCTCTCTGCTTGCTCTGCTCCGGTACTCTCGGCTTGCTCTGCTCCTCTTTACTTGCTCTGCTCCTCTCTGCTTGCTCTGCTCCGCTACTCTCGACTTGCTCTGCTTTTCTCTACTTGCTCTGCTTCTCTCTGTTCCTCTCTGCTTTTGTCCTCACTGCTTGCTCTGCTCCCCTCTACACAATCAAATCTATAAAGTATTACTTCAGTGCATGTCAATATGTGTGTGTATCTGTGTGTATGCATCAATGTGTGTGTATCTGTGTTTTAGTGTGTGTATCTGAGTGTATGCATCAATGTGTGTGTATCTGAGTGCCAGTGTGTGTATCTGAATGTATGTGCTAGTGTGTATTTGAGTGTATGTGCCAGTGCAGGCCCGGACTGGCCATCGGGCACAGAGGGCAAATGCCCGGTGGGCCGCGGTGGCCATGGGCCGAGGCCGACAGGGGAGGTCTCAGGATCTCCCCTGCCGGTCTATGCAGGGCCAGCACTATCCGAGCGCCGGCCCCGCTTCGTGCCACGATGGGCCGGTGGGGAGATCAAGGATCTCCCTGACCGGCCCACATGCGGCCGCCGACGGGGAGGGAGGGAGACAGCCACCAGGAGAGAGGACCCGGCGGAGCTCTAACTTGCAGCTCCGCCGGGTTCCTCTCGCGAGATCCGGCGCGTTGCCATGGCAACGATCGGATCTCGCGAGAGTGAACTCTAGCCTCACAGGCTAGAGTTCACTCACCCACGAGGACCACCAGGGAACATCGCCACCCCGCCTCCCAGTCCCAGCGTGCCGGTCCCCCCCTCCCAGGCTAAAGGTAAGAAGGGAGGGGGGGGAAATAATGACTGATTTTTTATTTTTTTTATTTACCCCCCCTACACACACACACACACACAATAACATTTATACAGCACTCTCACACCCATCACACACAGCACTCTCTCACACCCATCACACTCACAGCACTCTCACAGAGCACTCTCACACACACACAGCACTCTCACAGAGCACTCTCACACAGCACTCTCACACCATCACACACAGCACTTTCACACACACAGCACTCTCTCACAGCACTCTCTCACAGAGCACTCTCACACAGCACTCTCACACAGCACTCTCTCACACAGCACTCTCACACCCATCACTCACACACGGCACTCTCACACCGCACCCCTCACACACAGCACTCTCACACCGCACCCCTCACACACACACCGCACCCTCACACACACACATACTGCACCCCTCACATACACACAGAACCCCCCAACACACTGCACCACACACATACACAATACTTCCAAATATATATATATATATATATATATACACACACACACACACACACACACACACACACAACACTCTTAAAGGACCACTCTAGCCACCCAGAACACTTCAGCTTAATGAAGTGGTCTTGGTGCCAGGTCCTTCTAGGGTTAACCCATTGTTTTATAAACATAGCAGTTTCAGAAAACTGCTATGTTTATCAATGGGTTAAGCCTTCCCCCAAAGCCTCTAGCAGCTGTCTCATTGACCGCCGCTAGAGGCGCTTGCGTGCTTTGCACGCAAGCGTCCATAGGAAAACATTATAAATGCTTTCCTATGCGACCGGCTGAATGCGAGCGCAGCTCTTGCTGCGCGTGCGCATTCAGCCGACGGGGCGGATCGGAGGAGGAGAGCTCCCCGCCCGGCGCTGGAAAAAGGTAAGTTTTAACCCCTTTCCAGAGCCGGGCGGGAGGGGGTCCCTGAGCCACATATGCATCACATTACACCACAAACACAACACGACTAAAACCGACCTTATTACACAATACCACACCACGACCAGCTCACTCTACACACACGCAATACCACAAGCAGGCTCCAAACACATGCACAATACTCTTTCCTGGCCTTTTGTCTCCTGGTATCCATTTATAGAGACACCAGAGACAAGTTGCAAGGAAACACAGTGCAAGCATGTTATTAAATTTGCTTGCACTGTGCAGAACAAATACAGGACTTTTTTCTCATGCTAGAGCTCTTCAGCAGAGCTCTGCGCATGGTCTGCCCTGGAAGAGCATTGAACCAACATGCTCACTTTGAGAGGAGGCGTGTTTGTCATTGGTGATGACAAAACACACCTCCTATGCCCCGCCCCCTTTTTAGTGGGCCGCTGTGTTAAAAAAATGCCCGAGCCGAATTTTTCTCCCAGTCCGCCACTGTGCCAGTGTGTGTTTCAATGTGTGTATCTGTGTGTCAGTGTGTATGTGCCAGTATGCGTATCTGTGTGTGTTGGTGGAGGGGGGAGTGAGTGCAAGCGTGTCAGGGGGAGGCGGAGTGAGCGCACATGTGCGCAGGGGTGGCGTAGTAACTTGTGAAGCCACCTCCCTGAAATGCATTTTTGCATGTTGGGATGTCTGTAATACATACATTTTACATGAAATATATAATTTGTAGCTGTGATAATAATATTTTCATTTATTTGGTGGGATTTTATTTATAATATTGTGGGATTTTATTTATATTATTGTGGGATTTAATTTATAGTAATGGGTTAAGTTAATTAATGTTACAGTGAACCTGTTCACATGACTCCTTGTCTGACAGGTTCATTATTAGATTTCATTATAATCTATAAAAATGTATTATGAATATAATTGGTCGCATGGTCACTCACACACTCTTCAGTAAGCACACAATGTCACTTATACACTCTAACACACACTCTTACTGAAGTATACACACAATGTCACACACTCTCATTAACACACACTTATTAAGTATATACACAATGTCACTGACACACTCTCACTAACACACACTATTATTTATGCACACAATGCCACACACTAACACATTATTATTAACCCCTTAATGCCGTTATGGCGTTCTATACCGTCGCGGCTTTAAAGGGTTTTAAAACTGTTGCGGCGGCATAGAACTCTGTAACGGCTTAAGCCCAGGGGAAGTAAGATTTACTTATCTCCACCGCAATCCTCTTCTGGAGGGCTGCCTGACAGCCCAGGCAGCCCTCCCCCGGCAAATGAGGCCCCCAGGGCCATGTGATCGCTCCTGGGTGGCGAGGCCTGACTGTTATGAAGGGAAGATGTGCCTTGATGGAGCTCCTCATTACTCTTGGCTACTAAGGCATTTCTCGACCTCATACAGCTCCAAAACGAGACAATAAAGCGACTCACTAGCCCTCAGACCTCAAAGTGAACCGGTAAGGCAGCCCATGAGCGGACACCAGCCAGCCAGTCATACCCGCGAGAACATGTGGCCTGGCGAGCACCGGGCGGAGAGGTGGACGATCTCCCAGCTGGTAGCTGCCCGGTGACTGTCTGCTGAGGATGATCCCGGTCCAAGCCTGGGGGGCCTCCCCGGCATGGCGGATGCAACCGTAAAGATAGACAGAAAATCAAGAGGACTACAAAAGATGGCGGAGGCCACGCGGATCCCAGACAGCCATGAGGAAAAGCATGACTCCTTGTCCAATCTGGACAGAATATTCAACAACTTCTGGCTAAAGCTTGAGCACAGAATGCAACAGTGTGCCCTACAACTGTCGGAAAGCCACTCACTTCGACAGCCACCACCCGACCCTCAGCAACAGCTTGCAGCCCTGGTGGGGAACAAAGCCATATGGTGGCAGAGGAGGGAAAAGCACCCATCACTCCCATGCAAAGCGGAGGGAACCATCAAAACCAAGCGCTGGACCTCCTCAAACGCCTACCGCATCAGGGGTGACCCTACTCCAGCTGCACGGCCCAACATGCCGATCCCAAACAAACACGCTCAACCACTGCACCGCAACGCAGCCTCAGGGACATCCGTGGCAGGGCTCTGTGCAGCCCCAATGAGGCATAGGGTGAATCACACAGGGAGAAATCGGGACTCTAGATCCCTAGCTGGGTGTCCTGACAAAACACCCTGAGTCACAGCATGAACTTGGGGTGAGGGACTCATGCCTGGGGTACCTCAGGGAGGTTTATTATTTTTCTAATCTTTCTGCCTTATCAATTTTATCTTTACCATTCATAAGTTAAATAAGTACAATCAACTTACTTATCTAATCAACCAATGTTGCTTTTCACATGTACTCTACCAACTCGTGTTTCTGCATCCTTAATAACATAAAAATGTTTATTCTCTTAAAAATACTAGGCAACATGCCTTAAGTTCTAAGCATAACTACTATTTAAACATGCATATGCGGCCTAGCTACTTTACTATAGATTACTCAAGCATTTTTAGCGTGTTATTTCTAACAAATATAAAATGTGCTACTTTAACTAACATGTCATTGATTGCTATTGAATTGCTTGCATCTGCTGTCGTGGTGCTGCAAGCTTATCTGTTATCTTATGCACAAGAAAAATAAAAAAAAAATTAAATTAAATTTTTTTTTAAAATGTTTGCATACCCTGGCAGAAGTTGTCAAATTCTGGCATTGATTTATAAACTATGACAGATCATGCAACAAAATGTATTTTATTGGAGGATTGTGATCATATGAAACCCTTTGTTATCGCATAGTTGTTTGGCTCCTTGTTAAATCATAGTGATTATAGAAATCACCCAAATGGCCCTTATCAAAAGTTTACATACCCTTGAATGTTTGGCCTTGTTACAGACACACAAGGTGACACACACAGGTTAAAATGGCAATTAAAAGTTCATTTCCAACGCCTGTGGCTTTTTAAATTGCAATTAGTGTCAATGAGTGTGTTAACTCTCACGTGGATGCTCTGAGCAGGCTATATACTGAGCCATGGGGAGCAGAAAAGAACTGTCAAAAAACCTATGTAACAAGGTAATGGGACTTTATAACGTTGGAAAGGGCTTTAAAAAGATATCCAAAGCCTTGAAAATGCCAGTCAGCACTGTTCAATCACTTATTAAGAATTATAACATTCGGGGATCCCTTGGTACAAAGCTAAGGTCAGGTAGACCAAGAAAGATTTCAGCCACAACCTTCAGAAGAATTGTTTTGGGATACAAAGAAAAACCCACAGGTAATCTCAGGAGAAATACAGGCTGCTCTGGAAAAAGAAAGTGTGGTTGTTTCAAGGAGCAAAATGAGTTGCATGGTTAAGTTTCCAGAAACAAGCCTTTACTGCACCAATGCCACAAAAAAGCCCTGATACAATATGCCCAACAGCACCTTGACATGTCTCACAGCTTCTGGCACACTGAAATTTGGAGTGACAAGACCAAAATAGAGCTTTATGGTCACAACCATAAGAGCTATGTTTGGAGAGGGGTCAACCAGGCCTTTTTTTTATTTGTGGTAGCCAGCAGGGGCGCCTGGTATGAAAGATGTAATGAAATCTGTCAGACCACATCTTACTGATGCAGATATGTTCATTGATCGTATACACAGAATCACACTTTTTAATTACCGACCGCTCTTGGCTATTAACCACAAATTGATTATTAATTTAAGTGTTCCCACCATTGGAAGTCTTCTTTTTTTAATGTTCTTGTATTCATCCCCAAAAAAGAAAAAAATCCATAATTTATCATTTAATATTGGCTGAGGGTATGAAGTGCAGTGCAGGGCTTAGCTCATTGGCTGAGAACCATGATATAATGCTTGGCTCTGGAGAACTAATGAAAGCTCCATAAAGGAGTTCCATGTCCACACATAGAGGAAGTGAGTAGTGGCACCATAACCACTGCAACATTTGAAATGGATTTTTGATTTTGTAAAAAAGAGAGAGTGAGTGGGTGATTGATGACAACTTCAGGACAGAACCTTCCCACACCTTCATTCCATAGCTGGGATCCCGTATTCCAGTGCGGAACTTCTGTTTTCTAGCGATTCACCAGCTGAACTGTCAAACAGGAGCTAGGCATTCCTACACCGCCGAGGCAGCCAGATGGGAAAACGAAAGTGGAAGAGAATGAGTGAGCAATTGGCAAACCTCTACCTTAATTAGACCGTTCACTTCTATACCACCCACTGACACCTGAGAAACACCAGCGGGGCACAGACAGTGACAGACTTCAAAGAGTATCCAATTAATTTAGCCCAATACTATTAAAAACATATACGGTACCAACTGCTACTCCTGCATCTACTCCTATGTCATTTTAGGCAAACGAAGGCTAGTGTTGCACTTTTCAGACCCAGATTAGTTGAACCTTTTCCTGGTTTCAGAAACTCTTATGGCCGCAGCTACCTGAATATGGACAGGCAGGAATCTTAAAACCCTAAAGGATGGAGGTAATTATCCAACTTCTGAATCAAACAAAACCTAGAATTTTTGCTATGTTTTGTCTTGATGTGTACCCATACATATTATATATTATTTTTTGAAAGGACAGAAATTACGTTCTTCTAATAATATATATTATGTACCAAACAAAACAGTAAGTGTGAATAATATGTTAATTTTTTTTTTGCATTTTACACAACAAGTGCAACAAAAGAAACAGATTCCACAATAGATTCAGAAAACCCTACAACCAGGGCTGTGATAGGCCCACCCTACTGGCTTAACTGTCAATCTTCCAGCTGGCTCCTCCCTCTGCTCCTGGTTGAGTGCTGGGTGAGCTGCAGACTAGCGTTAGCCCTCTAATGTCATCAGGGAATGTCTTTGTAGCCAGCAGCCAATCAGAGTGCTTGTAGGAATGAGGATGGTACGGGCATGCTGCTGAAAGCTGCAGGAACGAGAGACAGTAGCTCCATATCTTTGTTATGTCTGAGTGTATAACAGAGCTTGAAGACACTAATACTCACAGTAATGTGTATTTAAACTACAATAAATGTGTTTAGAAGTCCGTATGTGTAAATAAGCTATTTTATAAATTTTATAAATAGCTTACAACTTCATATGCATCAAATGCATTACACATGTATATGTATCAGACATATCCAAATGCATTCACATATATTACATTTTGCCCATTACATGCATATATACATCAGAGTGCGATGTAGAGGGTTATACAATAACTAACCAACGTAAATCTGAATTGCAAAATTGAGGCTAAAGTAACTTAACTGTAACTACAAATGAGTTGGAGAATATGTCCAAATAAACTATTGTTGCCATAATTTTGTAATTTAAATTTGAGTTTGCTACTGTTATGCTACTTGGGTTATTTGGATGGGAACTCAACTGCAGCTTGTAAAACTCCTTAATTACAATAGTGAAGAAGCGGAGAATCTTTAAAGTATCAATACTGTAGCTTTAAGAAAGGAGAGGATTGCTGGCACTTTGAGAATCAAATAAAGTTTTAATAATTGTTAAACTTAACGAACTGCATTTAGGCAATAATGCAATAAGAATAAGTGAAAGTCATTAAACAATACAAAGTTCATCAATAAGTATTTCCTCAGAGATATATTAAATAAGATTCATTAGGTTGCTAGGAATAATCTTCAATAATGATATTTGGCAGGTAGCAAAGTATTTGCAAAGCAAGAAACAGTTCCTAGTGATTAAGCTTGATTTGAGTTGTCCTCCATATAATTAGTAGCTTGAAGCAGAGCAGTTTTAAGCAAGCAGTAAATAGTTAATCAATAAATGAGATAGCAGAGATTAGCTGAAAGGTATACTTAAGGTTAAGGAGAGTTAGCCTCCAAGAGTTCAAAGTTATAGTCCACTTCATAATTAGCAAGTATCAGTTCTCTAGTAATCCTCCATGGCATGCAGTATCATCCATGCATTAGCTCAAAGGTTGGACAGCTTGTCAGAGTCTATGGGGCCGGCGTGTATACCAGGAAGTCGGTCCCACATTGTCAGAGCCTCGGGAGCCGGCGAGTATGGCGGAAGTAGGTCACACAATCACCAAGAGCCCTCTCTCTGGCACCAACTGCTTAAGTTCAATCAGAGCCGTGTCAGAGGGGGGCGGGGTCAGCTCCGCATCGCGGAAGTGCCGAATCTGGAAGTGTTACAGTATGACAGCTACATAATTTAGTATTTTGAATGCACCCTATATTGTATAAAGAAGGAAGGATGAATAAACTTGGCCAGACCTAGGGTATCAAAGCAACACTAAAGATATCATGTGCAGATTGTTTTATTAATCAGGAACATCAAAATTTGCAGCTCCAGGTCCATGAGGACCAGGTCCCTTAATCCAGCCATGCATCCTCCTGGCAATAACAATAATGATGGCTGCTCTCATAAGCAATCAGATACAGAAAGGTGAATTTTTAATATTTATATATCGAATGTTTTAATCTTTGAATTGAGTTATGTAGGTTTATGGAACTGTAAATTTAGGAATTTGTCATTTTAGGAACTATATGTAAGAGTCATAAATAATATTTTTGTACTTTTGTATTATTTAGTTGGTAGATAGGACCTTGGACTTCATCAAGTTGGAAAGTGGGCAAGATTG